AAAATATAAGTAAAATAATTAACAATAACATCTGTGGATTATAAATAGCAGAGTTGTTGTTACGTGCCATCGAATTGCCTGAAACTCATAGCGACTCTGTGCACAACATCTCTGAGGTCCGCCCTGTCCTGAGCCAGTCCCACTGATTCTGACACACCTACCCCCTTTGCCTCAGTTACTGTATAAATCCATCTCACCCAGGGTAATCCTCTAAATAAATAAATACTATAGATAAAACAAAATAGAGACAAGTATTTGTAAATAAGAAAATTCAGAAAAGGTATTTTTAAAAACAAAGCAGTAAAATGACAAATATAAAATAAGTTGTCAATAAAAATGAATAGCGTAATGATGATATTTCTTTTAAAAACAAAGATTTATCTGTTAAAAGACGCATGTTGCTTATTTGTATGATTGTAAAATCCATACTTAGGCTGTTGAGACATACCCCAAAATGCTTGCCAGGCAAATCTAAAGTTTCTTAAATAAAGTATAGAAAATCATACATTGAAATTGCAATTTTTAAAAAGTTCAGATAAATATAGCATGAATATTAGAAAGAAATAGAATGTAAATTCAAACAGTTATTAAGAGAGATCTTATAACATGATTGCAATAAATTTAATATGTTGGGCCAACAAAGTCATTCATGCTTTAGAGGTAAATTGATGTAACTACTTAGAATGACAACATGTTACTATTCTGTAAGTCTACAAAATATAAAAGGAATAATAAATAAAATCTATTATGCAAGGAAATTCTATATGGCAATAAATAAATAAATTGGAAATTAGATCTGTATGGGTGTGATAAAGATTAAAAACCTAGAAGAGATTAAATTAAATATTGCTTATTATTTCATGCACATGTAGAAAAAAATATATAAAAATGTATGGAACTGATAAATATAGGATTTAGGAGAGCTGGTAACAGAGTCAGGGAAGTTCACAGAAGGCTTTCATTACGCATAAAATATTATTTCTTCTGTAAAGCAGCTATGACAAAGTAATAAGCAATGGTGATGCTGAATACGAGTAACTAGTATATGTTATTATTTTCTGTGCAAAAGTCCTGGTGGTTCAGTATGTGAAGTGTTCCACTGCCACCCACTCCCTGGCAGAAAGATGACGTATTCTGCTTTGTAAAGACTTATAGCCTTATAAATCCTATGGGGAGATTTCACTGTCTTAAAAGGTCACCAAGAGCTTCAACGATTTAGACCCTCCCAGAAGAGCTGTGGTTGAGCATTAACATTACTGGTAAGTATATTCATTTTCTCCTGGACACAGAGCCTACTAATTGGTCCTAAAAGCCTTCTGAGATCCTAATTCTTCTTACTATGTCTTAGTTGTTGGAATGCACGGAAAACCTCATAAGTAGTTCCTTACCTTTCCTCTACCTAGCATTCGAACTTCCGAGTTGCAAAACAACCCAGTGGTAGATGGAATTTCCTCCAGGACTTAAGAACCATAAATGACATAGCTGAGCCTCTACATCTTGTGGTTCCTAACCTCTACACTATAATAGACAAAGTGCTAGTCTATAGGCCTTTTATTAAAAGAACCACCTTCCCTCTGTAACTTGATTTGTGCCACTACTAGAAGCTGTACTCGGAATACTATTGCTTGTTAATTTTTGGCTCATGTACTTTTACCTTGTTAGTTAAATTTGTATCTTCTAGGCTGCAACACTTCCATGACACAAATTCAAGGACATGAACATGTACGGCTAAGCACAATTGATAACAGTGAATCTAAATTCCCAATCTCCATAATAGTCTATGTTTCCTACTGTCAAAGGGGCCCTTTAGAGTAGTGAGAGAAGATCTTCACCCTGAAACCTACAGCATCCCTTTTCAGCAGGAAGTAGCTAAGAGAATACCCCATCCCCTTTTCCTTATGAATCAGGCTGAAGTCTTTCTCAGGGAGGAGAGATAGGGAATGGCAAAGGACACACTGACAAAGGAGATTAATCAGAACTGGCTTCGACAAGCACTGTGGCAACTGGACAATTAAAACAGACATTTGGCGGGGGAAGAAGGACGGGGGGAGGAGGGTAGAGAAAACAGTGCAACAATGAATGAATGAAACCCCAAAATCTTTGTAAATGTTCACTAAAACGAATAAAATTTAATAATATTTTTTTAAAAAAAAGATCACCAAGAGTAGGAGAAAATCCAATAATAATGTGTTTTATTTTTTTAACATTTTACAATATTTAAACTCTTATTTCAAATCTAAAGTTCTTTATTCAGTGCCTGGTACATTCAAAATATGTTGTTGTGTTGGTGTTATGTGCCATCGAGTCACTTGTGAATCATAAGGACCCTCTGTAAAAAAGCCATAAACTCTGCTCTGTCAAGTGCCAGTCACACTGTCTCAGATACATCCATCCCAATTACCCCAGTCACTAAACCCATCCACCTCCCAGAGGGCCTTCCCCTTCTGCATTGTCCCTCCACCCTACCAAACATGATGTCCCTCTCAAAGGACTGGTCCCTCCTTACAACATGTCTAAAGTATGTTAGACGAAGCCTCAGAATCTTTGCCTCCAGGAAGCTTCCTGGTTTAACCCTTTCCAGGATGAGTCTGTTTGTGTTCCTAGCAGTCCATGGTACCCTCAATACTCTTCTCCAGCACCACAGCTCAAAGACATCAATTCTCCTTCTATCCTCCTTAGTCAATTTCCAACTCTCTGATGCATAACAAATGATAGCAAAGACCATGGTCTGTGTCGTATGCACCTTAGTCTCCAGAGAGACACCATTGCTCTTCAGTACTTTGGAGAGATCTCTAACAGCAGCCTTTCCCATCACAACATGTTTTTTAATTTCCTGGCTCCTGGTGCCGAGAGGGTTGATTGTGGAGCCAAGCAAACTAAAGCTGTGAACAATATCAATCTCCTCAACATCCATCCTGATGCTACCAATTGGTCCAGTTGTGAGAATCTTTGTCTTCTTGACATTGAGCCTCAATCCATATTGAAGGCTGCAGTCCTTGACCCTGTGCAGCAAGCGCTTCAGGTCCTCCTCAGTTTCAGCAAGCAGGGTTGTGTCATCTGCATAACGCAGATTTCTGATAGATCTTCCTCCAATCCTTATGCCACAATTCTCCTCATAGAGCCCAGCCTCCCGGATGATCTCTTCTGCATGCAGGTTGAAAAGGTATGGAGACAGGACACATCCCCGGCGTACGCCCTTCCCAATATTGAACCATGCAGTGTTTCCTTGCTCTGTTCTGACGACTGCCTCTTGGTCCAAGTATAAGTTTCTCATTAGCACGATCAAGTGTTCTGGGATTCCCATTCTCAGAGTCAGCCACAGTGCAATACAGAAATTATTTTTTCTCTTTTTATAGTAATTATAAATATAATACTCTAGTGTAATACTATACTGATAATAAATGAGTATATATAACTAGTAGCCTGGTGCTAAGAAGTTGAGGGTCAACCAAAAGGCAAATGGTTTGAACACATTAGCTGATCTGCTGGTGAAAAATGGCCCATTTCCTCCCTTGAGATTTCCAGCCTCTAATAATCCACTGGAGAGTCAGCCAAGAATCAGTTGTTACTCAAGGACACATAATACCAACACTGTTGCAACTACTACTATTCCTACTCCATTCACTATAACTATTGCTATTCGCACTAGTAATTAATAAAAATCTTCCTTGTTAAAGAAGCTTGGGGGTGGACTTTTAGGTAAAGAAAATAATTTTGCTATAAAAGAGTTGATTGTCTCTAATATATCTCCTCTATAAAGTTGTAATTTTTATACATTGAATATTTCAAAGAGTTTTATTCACTCTTTGAAAAATAAATAACCTAAAAAATAAATAAACCGTGTTTTTGAGAAACTTCTGAGAATATTTTCTGCTTCATAGACATTTTTTCACTTACCACTTTCTCACACAAGAAAGATTAATATCTAGAATAAAACTAAAAATCAATTGTATTCATAAAGACTGAAAAAATCTTTATAACTATAGTCAAAGAAAAAGAAATATCTGTATTTCAGTGTAATAATGTTATACTCAGTCATGTAATAGATAACATGAAATGAAAACCAATATTCTTATCAATGATTACATTGTTGGTATTGTTAGGTATTGTCTTGAGTAAGACTGATAGCAGCCCTGTGAACAACAGATCTGAACTCTACCCTACCCTGTTCCATCTTCAAAATCTGGTATACTTGAACCCATTGCTGCTGTCACCATGACAATTCATTTCATTGTAGTCTTCCTCTCTTTTTCTGACCCTTCACCTTTCAAATATATTTTTCCAAGAAATAGCCTCCCCTAGCAAAATGCTCAAAGTATGTAAGAAGCTTCACCATTCACCAAGGAGCAGTCTGATTGTACCTTTTTCAGAACATATCTGTTTGTTCCTTTGGTAGTCCATGGAATATTCGGTGTTCTTCTCCAACACCACAGTTCAAAGGGATCAGATCTTCTGTTATCCGTAATCATTGTCCAGCCCTCAGATATATATCAAGTGATTAAAAAGACCATGGCCTAATCAGGTGCTCCTTAGTCTTCAAACTGACATCATTGCTCTTCAGTAATAACAAGGTCCCTGGACAGCATATGCTCTTCCCAATGCATTATGCCTCATGACTCCCCGACTACTACTGTAATTACTTTAGAAAGTGTAATAAAGTGAATTATCAAAGAAAGAAAAATGTGTCTTACCTAGTTTTATCGGGAGTCACTGAGTGATGTAAGTAGTTAGCATAGTTGGCTACAAACTAAAAAGCTCAAGTTTATACCCACTCAAACTTTCTCTGGAAGAAAGCCGGCATCTACTAATGAAAGATCACAATTGGAAGTCCTACGGAGTACAGTTCTATTCGGACATGCCTGGGGTCATCACAAATAGGATTTAATTTGTTGGCAACCAGCAACACAGTTTTACATAAAATAGCACAGTTCAAAATAATAATAACAGAAAACATGGAAAACAAAGTCAATTAACCCTGGACAAGTGTGCAAAGGATCTACCTTGGTCATCCATTGATGCAGAAATATTCTTTGCATCTTTCTCTGAAAGGTCAGCTGTATTTTCCACTTCTGATTCTGCTTTCTCTGCTTTAGTCATGAAACAAACTGGAAACTCAGGGAAATGCTGAATATGACTCTCACGGGAGTTTTGATCATCCAAATGCAAAGGAAATTTAATTACCTGTTAAGAAAGAAGTTTGTTACCTAAGCTTCTGAAAATCTTACAAATGCAGTTGATTTTTATCTAGACCAATAATATAACTTTGAAAACTTATAAGTTAAAATAATTATAAGATAGGCATAAAATAAAAAGTTATAAAGTCCATTAAAGAAAACAAAATTGGGACAATTTGAAGAATTCTAATCTATGGCATAAACAGGCTATCAAAAATAACCCAACATGTATACTGAGTAGAGGATAAACTAGAAGATTGAGACCTCTTAAATGAAATCCTTATGTGTATCAAAAAATTCTCCAAAGATATAAAAAACCATCCTACAGACTGGGATAAAATATTTAGTAATGCCAAGTCTTACAAGGCACTCATCTCTAAAATTTCTAGAAAACTTCAACACCTCAATAATAATTAACAACCTAATTACAAAATGGACAGAAGACATGGAAACATAGTCACTAGCAAAGACATGAAAATGCTCAAGATCATTAGGGTTTTTTTTTTTAAATGAATTCATTTTCACTGTCACAGAGTGAGAATCAACTCATTATGACCATCTACTCGGTTTCTGAGGGGTTTTATAAGATGCATGGAAAGAAGAAGTTCATCTTTCTCCCAAGGAATCACTGAGACAGAAATCAAAACAACAGTGAGACATCATCTCACCTTAGCAACAAGTGCAAAGCTCAATAGGACTGTAGACAAAATTGTTGGGGAGGGTGTCAAGAGATTGTAACTCTCTTGCTTTCACTGGTATTATAAAATGATGCAATCACTATGTAATGCAGTCTAGTGCTTCCTTAGAAGACTGAAAATGGAAATAGCATTTGATCCAGCAGTTCCCATACCAGGTATATATCCTAAGGAAAGAAGAACTTTGATGAGCACCAATGTTTACTGCAACATTATTGACAGTAACAAAGAGATGGAAACAACCTAAGGATCTGTTCTCATACAAATGGTTATAGCAATGGTAACATTCACACAATGGAGTTGTCTTAGACAAGAGGAGAAAACAAGTCAAGGAGGGAATGAGCAAGGAGCATTTCTCTGAAAGGGCCAGAGCGAGTAAAAACAGCACAGCCCTTCACTACACCAGAGCAGAAAGTAGATCTGGAGCCCATAGACATGCCCCATGATGCCTATAAAACCCCACCAACAAGAAGGAGGTGTTTCTTAAACTTAAATTTGTACTAACAATAGGGTTTCTTCCCTAAGGTAGAAAGTTGAAGAGTGAAAGAGGTAAAGAATATCACAGTATCACTCAAAATAAATCCAGGTTTTAGCATAACAGTTCCAAGGCACAACTCCTCAATAAGTCCAAGCTCCAGTTTCAATTCAGCAAGCAGCTTTTCTTTCCATCAATCAAAGGAAAGAACAGAAAACTTCAGCTGTGACTAGTACAAAGACAAGAAGCCTCAGGTCACACCTTGCTACAATTTCTTCATAGCAATACAAGACTCTCCATCAGCACGGTCTCGCTCTCACCAGGGTCTTGCCACCACAAGTCTTTCTTACCTTAAATCTTCCTGCTCCAAATTTTGCTCCGCAGTATGGAAAGCACTCTCTTACCCACAGGAGATACTGATTTGCAAGACCATGTGTCTGCAGTTCAGGTAGCTGGAGACCAGAGGAAACTAACTAATGGCTAAAAAGCCCCAACTTCTAGGCTAACACCACAGGAGTGGTGTGATGCCTTGACTTTATTGTTTAAAATGGCTTTCAGAGTCATGTTTTTGTTGTTATATGTTATTGAGTCACCTGTGACTCATAGTGATCCTATGTACAATAGCTCTGATCTCTGCACTATCCTAAGCAAGTCTCATTGTCTCTGACACAGGTATCCCCACTACCCCAGTTACTATATCAATCCACCTCATCTAGGGTCTTTTTCTACCGTGCTCTCTCCAGCCTTCCAAATACGATGTCCTTTTCCAAGGACAGGTCCCTCCTGACCACATCCCTAAAGTATGTGAGACAGACCTTCAAAATCCTTGCTTCCAAGGAGCAGCCTGATTTTATCCTCTCCAGGACGGACATGTTAAATCTCTTGATGTTCCCATGGACTTTAATTTTCACAACATGAATGGATGGAAAGTTGAAATAGGCTATGTATAAACTAATCTTGATGGAATTGGTCAGTTTTTTTCACCCTACCAAGTTTAAATTATGCCTGTTTAGCAGCAAATTTAGGAATTTCACCATCAACAATAAGAGGAAACAAAAAGGGCAGTGCACACCCTTCAGGGTCAGAGATTCCTATCCAAGTTAGACCTAATCTGCAAAGAACAGAAGCAGCCTAAATAGAGAACTAGAGACTACCATGAGACTGAGCTGACTCGGAACTATTGTCTCACAGCCCAAAAACCAAGAAAGGGGCTTTGGCCCAAGCTTGCTGGAGAACTGAGAGAGACACCAAAATTGACAAGAGATTGGGAACTTTGTGTGGAGTTGAAGGTCAGATAGTCTGTGAGCAAGTTTGAGGAACTGAGGCATTGTGCCCTCTTACATGTTGTTGTTATGTGCCATTGAGTCACTTGTGACTGAGTTTTTGTTGTTGTTAGGTGCCATCAAGTCATAAACAACTCATAGAGACCCTATGAACAGAAGACCTGAATACTTGTATAACTTCCATCGTTTCTCTATGTTCATATAGATTCTGCAGGCAAGCTATTTTGCAAGTGGAGGCCAATCCTTCTTAGTTGAAACCCACTTTATTCTGTGCCAACTTTACTGTCTCTGACACACCTACCCTCATTGTCAGTCACTGAATCAGTCCATCTCATTGAAGTTCTTCCTCTCTTGAGCTGTCCCTCCACCCTCCCAAGCATGATGTCCCTCTCCAAGGACTGGTCCTTCCTTGCAACATGCCCAAAATATGTCAGACAAAGCCTCAGAATTTTTGCCTCCAAGGAGCTGCCTGGTTTCATCCTCTCTAGGATGAACCTGTTTGTTTTCCTGGCAGTCCATTCAACCCTCTACTCCAGCACCACACCTGAAAGGCTTTCTATCATCCCTAATCATTGTCCAGCTCTCTGACACATAGCAAGCATCTGCAAAGACCAGCATGACCTCAGTCTCCAGACTGATATAATTACTCTTCAGTACTCTGGAAAGGACCCTGACAGCCAACTTTCCCAGTGCAATTTTTGAAATCTCTTGCTTTCTTGGCTGCTGGTACAAAAAGTGT